AGAGGGGGAAATAGGGGCAGGGAACTGACAGAGATCAATGAAGCCATGTCATGTTGGCTGTTTATTGTTCCCTTCACATCGGAAGCGGAGGAAGGAAAAGGTGCAGCTCAAACCCACATTCAGATACCCCGGGGCAATGCTGTAATGATTACGAAGTCACCCCTGAATGGCCGTAAATCTATGCAGAAGGTACCATAAAACCTGATGAACAAAGCAAGTGAAAGCGGCATGCAGTGTAGAGGGAGATTAACTTCCCGACGTGGCTGTGGAAAAACTGCGAGGAAACAGATGGGTGCAGAATCAGCCTCTATGGCTTTGTATAATCCCTTATTAAAGGCATGAAACGGCTTTAAGTTATCATTTTGCAAGCAGAAATTAGAAAGTCACAAAAGACACAAAAGACACAGTCAAGGCAACTCTCTTGTGCAAATTTCTGGATTTTCTTCCCTGCTGCAGGAGTCTGGTTTGTCCATCTGGATTGGAGGCCACCTGGACCCCCTGGAGAACCTCCCTCCTCCTGTGGCTGTTATTCTCATCACTGTAGTAATTGCCTTATTCACGGAATTTGCTAGTAACACAGCCACGATCATAATCTTCCTTCCTGTTCTGGCAGAATTGGTAAGAGATGCTTGCTAATCTCCCAGCCACGTAGCAGCTGCATCAACGTAGGCCTTTCTCACACACGTGGATTAAATCAGCTCAAATGTAAAGCCCGCAATGGCCTACGTTACTTCCCTTCTGGAGCTGGTTAACACATGTATTAACAGCATGGGCACATGATGTAATCAGCAGAAAATATGGTTTTAGCTACACACCTGAAAATGCTGTAAAGTTGACTTCTGGGCTTCTTCCGCCTGGAGGTGAGCCTCTGCGTAGCTCTTGCTGCTGCTTCAAATTCAGAGGCATTCACGAGGGCAACAGAGCATCCACGGTGAAGTTTCCCCTTCACTCTCCTTGCCTCAGTCCACAGTGGCTGCCGTTTCCCAGCCGCCACACAAAGTTTTTTTGCAGTCTTTAAAGAATCCGAACAAACTGTATCAAATCAGGTTTAGGACAGATTGCAGCAAAGCTGGAGAAGAAACAAAGGCTGTGATCACACAGGCAGTTTGGCCCAACACAGCCACTCCTCCCCTCCGGATCAAATGGGCGCAGTCAGACAGCTACATCTGTCAGGCGTTCCCCGGGCATACTTATCCCGTCATAGGATGACTTAGAGCCAGGTTAAAAAGGCACCACATCACAAGTGGTGTTTTCGGTTCCCCGCACAGTCATTGCGCAAGGCTGGATGTCTGGACGTGGGGGAGTGCTTGCAGAACGGATTTGGCAGTCTGAACCTGCAGATCTGTTCTGCCACTAGGGAGGCAGGTTTTTTTAAATTGCATATGCGCACATGTGTGCGCATACATATGAGCACATGTGTGCATGCATGCACACACGCACACTTATGTGCACGCATGAATTTTTTGGGGGGGTTGCAGTGTGCTCCATGGCTGAGGCACTGCAATAATGTGGATGCTTTACCACAGGATGTCTCCATGGGTAACCTGCAGCAGGGTTGTGTGGTGTGCTGTGTGGTTGATATGTCCCGCAACATTTTAAACCGGTTCAATTAGAGGCGGCACCATATCGCGCCAAGCTGCCAGTGTGACCACAGCCAAAAACAGGTCAAGGAGAGAACAATGTCATCTCGATGCTCCCCCAAACAGCACTTCTGTAAGGAAACCAAGGCAGAGGAAAACTTCCAGGTGGGAACAGCCCTGAATTCAAATAAATTCCTTTGTGTTTAACTAACCATTCTAGGCAACAAGGAAAGAGGAGTCCTAGTACCTGTTGCCAGAATGCAGTGCATAATTGAAAGCAAGCCAAGTCATCCATCTTTGCAATGATTTCTCCTGCTCATTGCCAGGCAGACGTCTCTGCTGCTGCTGCCAGGTCCCAAATAGTGACGCTGGACTCCTGATATTTTTCATCTGCTTTTACACCCATCCCTGCTTTGGACCATAGCAGCGTGTATACCAGGCAAACTGTGCTATCTGCTCCCCTCCCCACACACAATTACTATCTTTTCTCTAAACAGTGTGTGTTGATAAATGGCAGGGAACCTCCTTTCCAGTCCATATTCTGCAGGTGTAGCAAGGAACACAACACATGCCACACAATAGCAACAGATGCTTCTGCTGCTTTGTACAATCTCACCATGCCTGGCTGCTAACTTTCATATTCTTGAAAACAGAGGCCTTCATTGATGCTGAGGGCCAGCACAGACTCCTCGAATTCTATCAGTTGACACAGTTGTTCAGCTGGTGGGTGATGAGTTCAGGAATCTGACTGTTCCTTAAGAGTTAGCAATGAGCCTTATAATAAAACCTCTGAGGCAGGTTCCGAAGATAACACGACTAGAAGCTGATATAAAAATCCAAGGAGGGAATTCTGAATGGGTGGGGGGGAAGAGGCAGAGAAGGGCAAATGGGAGCCAGGTAGACGGGAGCTAGTCAAGCAGATTATGGCAGACGTCTAGAAGAGGGGTTAACATGACTTAGATAGGTTTAGCAGGACCCCAAACCAATAAGGGTCTGGGTGAATCTGTAACTAACAAACTGGGCAAAGTACACTATTCCGACCTTCTGTTCTACTCAACTAGTTGGTGCTCCATTCTCTGATAGTGGAAACCCCTAATTCTAGCCCAGTGGAAGGGAAGGAATAAGGATGAGCAGTAGTTGGATTACAGTTTCAAATACATGATCCAAGAGTGAGGGCCATGGCTCAGTGGTAGAACTTGATATGCAGAAGGTCCCAAGTTCAATCCTGAAGAGACTCAAGTAGTGGGTAATGTGAAAGACCTCTGCCTGAGACCCTGGAGAGCTGCTGCCAGTCTAAGTAGACAATACTGGCCTTGATGGACCAATGGTCTGAGTCAGAATAAGGCAGCCTCATGTGTGTTCATTTCCCTGTTTCCCTCTTCCTTTTGCTGAAATACAAAGCAGGGGTGGAAGGAAATCTGACTGAGCTTTCTGGAGAAATGAACCCAATGAACAGTAGCAGAATCTCTCTAGGGTGTTCAGATAATATCCTCCAGTGGAAGCACATAGAATGCACTATGCATGCCAGTACTGCTTGGCTAGTCTTTTCAAGAATTTTATCAGGTGACTACAATCCAGCTATTAAATATCATCTTACCAGTTTTCCCAACTTTTGCTTTGTTCTTTTAAGGCCATTCGTCTGCAAGTGCATCCCCTCTACTTAATGATTCCAGGAACAATCGGATGCTCGTTTGCCTTCATGCTTCCTGTCTCCACACCCCCAAATTCAATTGCCTTCGCTTCTGGGCACTTAATGGTCAAAGATATGGTAAGTTCTTTTATATTCTGTTGATATCACAGACCATTGTAGGAGCATATGTTTTAGTATCCTTGAACTCATCAGAAAATGACAAATGAACCAGTAGGCTACTGCTACTGTATGTGGTCAGGGAGGCTCATACATACATCTGTATGAATTAGGGGTATACACTGGAAAAAATTCTGGAGCTGATTATGGGGGGGGTCTTTCTTCCCCCATTATCCAGGATTTCTGGTTACAATTCTGGGATTCTTTTCTGTTCCCTTTGGTTTTCCCCCAAGCTTCCAGAATTGTGATACCGTTATTTCCTATGGGGGATCAATTTGGAGGGTCTGGGGCAGCTTTTTACAAAAAAGCTGATGACACCAAATTTGCACTGGATGTCTTCCCACTACCGTAAAGATCCCCCTTCCCCAAACATTTCACAGGAATTGAGCAAAGGGAACCAATTGTGGGGGGAAACACCATGCCATGTTTCCTATTCTAGTTTAATAAGGAAAGGAACCAATTAGCCACAGACTTATTTGGCCATCATCGACCTCATTGACAGCTTACAGGCTACATTGCAATCCAGACATAACATCCCCATTGCTGGCATCAAAGGCAGTGGAGCCCACCCCAGCAGCTGGGGAAAAGGGAGGTGGGCCAGCAAGTGGGCTTCCGGAATCCTGCAAGGCTTGGCTGCTCACATACCCCACAACAAAAATCCACAAAAGAAAAAAAATGCATCAGAATCTCACCCAGGCCTACATAGAAGCAAATCAGAGGAAAAAACAGGAAAAAATGTCACAGCTCCTAGAACAGAAGCAAATGGGGAGGGGGAAAGTCATGCAACCCCTCCCCACAGGGAGTCTTAGAGGCTGGACTCATGTGACTGGCTACTGGGAGGGCTCTCTTGATCCCTCCCAGGGATACCAATGGAAGGAAGGAAGGAAGAGCTGTCTCATTTCTATTGCTTGGGAAATCAGGACAATTGAAGAAAAACAATACTGCATAAGCAGGCAAAGCAAGGCATGAGCCTGACCCCTCCCCTCCATATGGAAATTTACAGGATGCATTCTGGAATGCTGTTAATCATTCTGGAAACTATGGAACTACCCTGAAAAGGATATTTTCAGGTTGATTTTTATTATTGATTCAGGGATTTCTGAACTCATACTCCTGGTATGAATGTTACCCACTTTCTAGTCTGGCCAAAATTCACTCATGTTGCCTGACTGCAAGGAAGAAAACCCACTGCCTATCACTCCTGGACTAAAGGAGCTGTTGTCGTAGATGTTACATCCAGAGAATATTGCCCAGTCTGGGAGGGCACACAAATGGCAATAGAATGATCACTGATAAAGAAGAAGAAAAAGAGGAGGAGATTGGATTTATACCCTGCCCTTCACTACCCATAGGAGTCTCAGAGCGGCTTACAAACACCTTTCCCTCCCCCTCCCCACAACAGGCACCCTGTGAGGTAGGCAGGGCTGAGAGAGCTCTGAGAGCAACTGCTCTTTTTCAAGAACAGCTGTGCCAGAACTATGGCTTGCCCAAGGTCACATCAGCAGGTGCAAGTGGAGGAGTGGGGAATCAAACCCGATTCTCCCAGATTAGAGTCCACGCACTTAACCACTACACCAAACTGATGGAGCTTCATGTGAAAGTTTGAGAGACGTAATGAGAGTCTTGGACAAGATGAATCAGAGATTGTTTATTAAAGGAAATAATTAGCATACTCCAGCAGAGCAGTCACAATAATACTTAGTGTATGATTAATCATATTTCTACATTAGGGTGCCCCTACTAAGATACAAATATTCCAAATGCCCATACGAGAGCGGTTTACAAACACCTTTCCCTCCCCCTCCCCACAACAGGCACCCTGTGAGGTAGGCAAGGCTGAGAGAGCTCTGAGAGCAACTGCTCTTTTTCAAGAACAGCTGTGCCAGAACTATGGCTTGCCCAAGGTCACATCAGCAGGTGCAAGTGGAGGAGTGGGGAATCAAACCCCATGCTCCCAGATTAGAGTCCGCGCACTTAACCACTACACCAGACTGATGGAGCTTCATGTGAAAGTTTGAGAAACGTAATGAGAGTCTTGGACAACTTGAATCAGAGATTATTTATTAAGGGGAATAATTAGCATACTCCAGCAGAGCAGTCACAATAATACTTAGTGTATGATTAATCATATTTCTACATTAGGGTGCCCCTACTGAGATACAAATATTCCAAATGCCCATACATGCTGAGCAAGGCATGTCATCCAAGAAGGGAAAGGCATGGGGCCAGAGAGGTAAAGAGGATAAATCAGGGGCAGTAGATAACTAGCTGTGCAGGTTCCAAGCCAGTGTTTCAGGCAGCAGATAATCCAAAGGGAAATCCAAAGGGGAAAGCAGTGGACATCAGCCCAAAATGCATACAGAAGCAGTCTGTCTAGGGCAGTGTTGCCTCCCTAGCCACTCACAGGAGCAAAGTCAGCTGGTACACACAGGAACTTTGTAAGGCAGGGCTGAGCATAGTGAGGCACTACACTCAGGGTACCCAGCGAGACTGGAGTACATTGGAGGACAGGTTCTGGCTTCAGTTACAGGGCCAGAGGCTTGCGTTTCTGTACAAAAGATTCTTTTCTCTTCCAGCTTGGAAAGTTGCTAGGGACAAGGTGAGCTAACAGTTTTGCTGCCTGATTCTCAAAGATGAAAAGGAATATTTCCAAATAAGGATTGGGGTGTTATGCATGTTGGGGGGCAGTCTTAATCACCTTATTGGGGTGGGTTTTCATCAGGAAGTTCAAAGTTGTCCAAATTGTGTTAGTCTGAACTAAGAACCACATGGAAAATGCTAATGTAAGGATAGGGGAGTTTGTTAGGGGTGTTCAGCAGCGAGATCCTAGGTGTGTCCTTATTAACACCTTGAGAAGCCCTCATTTATAGTCTGGTGGTGGGATACTTGGCAGGTCTCAGTTTCTCTCTCTGACATGCTCTTATTCCTTAGTTAAATGTTATGAAATCAGGCTTGGTCCTACTCACCCTCACATCTCCAGTGGCCAATCAGAACCCTTGCTGAGCCCCACCCACTTTTAAAAAATACTTGGTGGGTGACAGGAAAGGTGTTGCCGGGTGCCATGGAGCCCACAGGCACCATGCTGGGAACTCCTGCTTTAGAGCTTGTCTGATAGGCTTCAGCAACAATAAAATACAGTTAGATCTTCCAGCAGTGACATAACACTGAAGTGCCCCAACTGAATCAGTTGGTGGCAGGAGCACATCGAGCAGTAAATTAATGCACCCGTACTGTTGTAGTGGGTTTTTTTTTTAATCAGTGAGTCAGTAGGAACTATATGTTCATTTATTAAGGCTCAACAAATATAAATATAGTTTATGAATGTGTGGACTGATGAGGGAAAGTTAATTCTCAGATGTGTTGGCAACCATCTATATTTATTTGGAGAACTGAATTCCAGCAGTGAAGTACCAGTAATTGCAGACTCACCTTTGGCTCCTGCCAGATTTCATTAGCTCTCAGTTTTCAGAGACTTGAAGATATTAAACCAACTGTTGCTTTGTTTTCCAAGAGATAACAAGCAAGAATTTGCTGATCAGATCAAACTAAATTCCTCCAATGGATCATCATCAAAAATTGCGAAACAAGAATTTTTCTCACACACCCTTACTGAAAGTGTAGATTGCATTTATTTGCTCATGGATTAAAATCCCATACTGTTGCCAGACTATGACACAAACTGGAATTCCTACACTGGGCTTCCCTGATATGGAAGAAATTATTTGATACTAGGAATAAGGCTCGTTGTGGAAATAATTAACAACGAGCTCTAGAAAGAGGCTCTGGGAAGGTGCCCTGGCCTTGGGTACTCAGCGTCAATTGAGTGATCTCCAGCCCTCACCTGGAGATTGGCAGCAGTGGTTCCCCAGGAGGAAAAGTATAGTCTTTCTCCACAGTTGAAACCAAAGCAGTTTACATCATTCTCCTCTCCTCCTTTTGATCTGCACAACAACCCTGTGAGGTAGGTTAGGCTGAAAGTCTTTGACTGGTCCAAAATCACCCACTCAACTTCCACAGCAAGAACCTGGGTCTTGCAGACCCTGTTCTGAAGCGCTAACTGCTACGCCTATAGTAGCCAACCTCCAGGTGGAGCCTGAAGATTGCTGGGTATCACAACTGAACTCCAGACAACAGATCCCCCCCCCGGAGAAACTAACTGCTTTGGAGGGTGGGCTCTATGGCATTCTATTCAGCTGAGCCCCCTCCCCAAACTCTGGCTTCTATATACTCCACCACAGAATATCCAGGAATTTCCTAGTCAGGACTGGTCCCAATGAGTTTCCCACAAAGGCCTGGAAAGTGCCTCCTGCCTCTGCCTTTTTAGTGACAGAACCAAGCATGGCTGCCTAGCAACAGCCACTGAGGGAAAAGTTAGTTCCACAGGAGCCAAGCATGATAAGTGTCTTCATCGGGAGAGACAGCCTTTTGGCAGTTTATTCTGTGAGAGAAATCTCTAGTCTGGCAGTGGGTAGGGGAGAGGAGTA